TAACATGCAAACCCATATAGTACCCTTTTAGAAGGACTGTAGTCTTTATTGGGCCCTTTTTGGGTTTCCATGTTAGTTTCCGGGAGTGTATCCACTTATAACTTTAATATAAGATGCTAACAAATCCTATTCTAACTGTGTAGGCCCAAGTCTCTTTGAGGCGGTCATGTTTGGGACGGTTGCGGTCCAGAATATTACCTAGTAACCACTTGGGATGTTTCCTACCTTGTTTGTGCATTCCATCATGATGGAAACATGGGTGCTATAGTCTAAACTCATAGTATCCCCCGTAATAGCCCCTATAGTAGTCCCCTAGACAGTCCCTTGCATAACCCTCTTGGAGGAGTTTAGATGCTATGTAGCCCCCTTCAAGGAGTTTAGATGATGGAAACATGCTGGACCAGCTGAAGCTGGCATGGGGGGACTACTGCGTCCTGGAACACTGACGGGCCGTCGAACGGCAAGCGATTTGAACCAAAAAAGGCCCTTTAGAGTTTAGGGCTTAGGGGGTTTAGGTTTCGGAGTTTAAAGTTTAGGGTTTAGGGGTGAGAGTTTAGGGTTTAGTTTGGAGTTTAGGGCTTAGAGTCGCTCACCACTGTCATGATCCCTGTCATGCTGATCAATCATCGTTGTCGGTAGCCGTGTGTACCCCACGCATCAGTTTTGTAAACAGCTCCTATGGTCCCGACAGTTGTAGGAATGCCCGCTCCTTGCTAACCTTAACAGTGCGACGGCCTCAGCCCAGGGCACCTATATCAACCGCTCTAATGGAGAGGGACGTCCCAAAAATTGGCTTATGTATACTGAGCGTTTTAGCCTTTTGAGGTCTAGTTTGGGGCCCCTCTAATTTATGGGGATGTTCTTACGGTTTGGGGGTTTACGCTAGCAGTCAACGTGGACAATCCAACCCTAATGAAATTTGAATGATACATAAGTGGATTCTGGGTGTTTCTGTTGGAGTATTTATATATATATACAAATTACAGTGAGAGACCCCCAAACCCTAAACCCTGCAGAGGTGCGTATATGGGTAGTTCACAAATTTAGGGTCCAATTTTAGTACCTCTAAAAAAAGGGCCCATAATTGAGCACAACCCATATATTAATATATATGGGTGGTTGTCAAAATCATGGTCCCTTTTTGGATCCCTATTATAGTACGGCACCTAATATTTAGGGTACCCCAAAAGAGACCATAATTTTGACAACCCCCCATATATATATATATGTACTATAGTCTAAACTCCTAGTATCCCCCTTAATAACCACTATAGTAGTACCCTATGTAATCCCCTATATAACCCCTTTAAGGAGTTTAGACTATAGCTCATATATATACCAATAGAATTCCCGGCGGGAGCAGCGCCTCCGAGGACCCGCCCTTCTTCCTCCAGGGCTTGTGATTTGGGGGGCTGATCTAAAGGTGATTCGGTGAATTTATTTGGGGCTTCTGGTCAAAGAAGCGGAGATACAGGAAAAGCATGTTTTCCATGAGCATTTCCATGATGGTCATTTGGGAGCCCTACACCCTAAATCCTGAACCCTAAACCCTAAACCTCTATTTCATATATAACTTAAATGTTAATTGCTTAGCAGCGAACGTCATATATTTAGCGGGCAAGGTCACATTTTGTAGCGGGCAAGGTCATATTTTGTAGCGGGCAAGGTCATAATTATATGAAGTGGGCGAGGTCATACATTTAGCGGGCAAGGTCATATTTGTAGCGGGCCAGGTCATATATTATGTGGGCAAGATCATATATTTTAGCCGGCAAGGTCATATTTGTAGCGGGCAAGGTCATATATTAAGTGGGCAAGGTCATATATATGAAGTAGGCAAGGTCATATATTCAACGGGCAGGGTCACATTTGTAGCGGGCAAGGTCATGTATTCAGTGGGCAAGGTCATATATTTAGCGGGCAAGGTCATATTTGTAGCGGGCATGGTCATGCGTTCAATGGGCAAAGTCATGGGTGGAACCTCAGGACCCTAGGCTGGCTGTTGGCAGTTTAGGGCTCAGGGCTTAAAGTTTAGGGTTCAGGCCTTGGAGTTTAGGATTCAGGGCTTAGTGTAGAGTTTAGGGTATAGGTGTCTTAGTGATGTGGGACCCAATCGGCGGGTGGGTATATGTCCATTGGTTGGTAAAGCTGCTCAACAGATGAATGCTTGGACTTGAGATGCTGAATCCTAAGCCCTAAACCCTAAATTCTGAACCCAAAACTCTAAATTCTGAACCTTAAACCCTAAATTCTGAATCCGAAACCCTAAATTTTAAACCCTAAACCCTAAATTCTGAAATAGACTCAATTTCAAGTGCCCAAGGCTTTGGGGGTCTCCATGGCAGGGTGGCTACGCAGTTGCTCAGACCTACCTCGAGCTGACGCACAGTATTGCGAGGACTGCACTTCAATTTTGAAGTTAGGGTTCAGGGCCTGGGGTTTAGGATTTCAGGGTTTACGGCTCAGGATCTAGGATTTAGGGCTTAGGGTTTAGGGTTTTAGGATGTAGGGCTTAGGATTTAGAGTTTAGGATTTAGGGTTTAGGGTTTAGGATTTAGAATTTCGGGTTTAAACGCTTCGAGTTTAGGGCTCGGGGCTTTGGGAATCCTGAGCCCCGAACCCTAAACCCTAAACCCTGAGGCCTACGGCTTAGCTGTACTGCAACCCCCCTAAACCCTAGACCCCAAGACCTATAGTCCCCCTCAAGTAGATAGAATATGGGGTATATGGGGATCTTATCATAAGAAACCCAGAGCCATATTCCATCTACTTAAGGGGGACTATACTTGTAACCCAGTTAGCTGCAGCTTGAAAGTAAGTACCCCCTAATTAGCTTGTACTACATATTCCCAGTGTTCCCTTGCTTAGGGTCTGGGGCTTCGGGTTATTGATTCTCCAGTAGAACTCATAAAACTGTCGGTAAGTGGGGTTGCAGGTATGCCCAGCCCTTCACCCTGGACCTTGAACGGTTTAGGGTTAGGGCTAGGGTTAGGGTAATTTAAACCCCTGATTCTAAACCCCCTCCTTTTATTGGCCTGAATGTTGGGATCCCTAGTATAATCCCTATTAAGGGGAGGGGTTTATTAGTCACGGGTCTACATTAGGGTTTGGGGCTTGGACCTTTACACCCTACCCAAAATGGAAAATCAAACGGAAAAGACCATGGACACGGAAACAAGGCATTATGGGGCTCTAAATGGGTAACCCTATAATCCGCAGTTTACATTTCATGTTCAATGTTCTCTTTCCATTGATTGTCCGTCATTGGGCCCTGTATCCCGATAATTTCCCTACATACTGAACCCTAAACCCCTGAATCCTAAACCCTCAACCCTAAACCCTAAACCCTAAACCCTCAGTAGCTTATTCTCAGTTCCTAAACCTCAAACGCCCGCATCCTGGGCATGCTTTGCAATTTCGCACGCTCGCCATAGCCGCCACCCAAGGGCCGCATGGCGTACTTGCTTCAACGGAATGAACTGGGAGATGCGGGTTTAGGGTTTAGGGTTTAGGGTTGAAGGTCTAGGGTCTAGGGCTTAAAACACTAAACCCTAAACCCTAGTTTAAGGTTTGGGGTTTAGATTTGGGTCTTGCGGAGGGGTGTCTATAGTTCAGGTTTGGGGCTTAGGTTTTCAGGTGAGGACGTCTTGGGGTTTGGGGTCATAGTCTCCCTTAAGTAGGTAAAATGTGGCGTATATGGGGGTCTTAATATTATATACCCAAAACCATATCATATCTATTTAAGCATAAGGGGGATTATAGAGCTTAGGGATTTGAGGGATGAGGGTTTGGGGTTACCCTAAACCCTAAACCCATTGGGGACCCCAAAGCTTCTTGGGGCTTCAAGGGAGAGCAGGGACCTGTCTCCAGGCTTGCGTAGGGCTCAGGGTTTAGGGTTCCCTGTTTAAGGGTTCAGGGTTTAAGGGTTAAGGGGTTTAGTGTTTAAGGGTTTAGGGGTTTTGGAATTAGGGCTCAGGGTTTACGGGTTTAGGATTTAGGGTTTAGGAGCAACCCCGCAAAAGGTCTGGGCTGTCCCATTGCGCGTGGTCCTTTCTTTGAGCCGCACAAAGGTTTTGCGTTCATAGGTGGCGTGATAACAGTCGAATGATGTGGAAGCCTTAAAAAAAACCAACCAAAATCCGCTTGAGGTCTAGCAAGGTACTCTATACATTAGGAGGACCCCCCACCCTGTAATAGTGGTATAATAGGAATGTAAGAGGAACCTAATATATTCCTTATTATCCATAATGGTCACTATTACTGGGTGGGGAGTCCACCTAATCTATACCATACTTAATTAATGATTATAAGGAATCTGGGGCCATCACATTAGTATTTAATGACTTGCGGGATTTAGGCTTCTACAGCCCTAAACCCTCAGTAGGTTATTCTCATGACTACTTCAGGGCGGCCTTGAGGTCAAGGAAGGAAATCTACCTGGCTTTTCCATTCACCTACTATAAGCCCAATCTACTATAGTAGTTTCCATTCTCTTTTCCATTATCCCAATATAACCCCAACATACTAGCAGTTTCTTCTCCATTTTCCCAATGTAAGTCATCCGACGGGTTTTGGGGTTTAGGGTTTAGGGGCCAACTTTTACACTTCAGACGTTCATTTCTTTGCTCGTCTGGCGCCGAAACTCCTGAACAGTGTGATTGATGAAAGCCACTGCTTCTTCAGAAACCAGTATGTCACCAACATTGAACCTGGGTTGCTGTTAAGGAACTTAAGTTATGTTTCCATAATGAGTAGATATAGTTAATAATAGGGTTTCCCCAATATAGTGACTTCAATTAAGCCCAGGAGCCCGGCTGTGAACCGACCATCAGGCAAGCTGCACTTCCCGGAGCTGTCAGCCTCACAGCAGGAAAGCTTTTGCCATGCGGCAGCTCGTGGCACGGCCCAAAGCTGCGTGTAGAGCTCGAAAGTTGATCCAACCGGCCTCACAGCTTCACAGTCGTAATCCCAATCGATGCATCGTTGCATGGCTGCAGTGAGGCTCACCCCTTCCAGAACCTCCAGCACAGGTAGAGCAACCAGGAAGCGCCCCGTTGACGGTGAGGTTTCCAGAAACCGAAATGCACAAGTGTAACGGTCATGAAGAGGAATGACACCAGAATAATGCTGCCCCAGCACTGCAACAGGGTGACTGTGATTGTCTACTTTGGCCATGGCCCAGCCCGCCACAGTTTGGGGGTCCTTGGGGCACCCTTCTTTCGCTACATCCACGATTTGAAGCCCCAACTCCTTTAGAATGTTGTACTCAAACTCGTTATCGAAGCTTTGGCAGCCAATCACGACTGCCAATGCTTCTGCTGGGAGCCAGAGGAGTTGCCAAAGTTGCGCTCCAATTGGGGTCACGAAAACACTTACATCCCTCAGCATCTGAGACGTTTCCTGCAAGGTCAGCGGACCCAGATCAACAATCGTAGCGCCGAGCATTGCAGCAACCTCCACAGCATTCGTCCATTTGCGCCGCTTTGCACTCTGCCGGCCGTCCAGGAGAACCCTTCCGAAGCTTTCGCTGGTTTGGGACGCTGAACTGTGCGATGGCACAACCCTGGCTCGGAATCGATGGAGAGTGGCTTGTGACACGCCCCAAGGTTTGTGATATTCCTGAGCACGAAGAGTTTCAGCTGTCACCTTTTTCGCATTGGTAGCGATCCGGAGGTTTTCGAAGCAGTGCACTTCATCAGGACCCATAAGTTGAACATTGGCAAACAAGGAGGCGAGTAGATCAAGCTGGAAGTTTTTGACCGGTCTCCTGCCCTCTGTTGCAAGAAGGTTGGCCACTGTACGATTTACAGTAGCGCCGGTCTCTAACATCGCAAGCAGGCTCATCAGCAGATCATCGGCAATGAAGTGCGCAATGTTGGCACACCCCGGGCATCGCGTTGAAACTGAATGGCCATCGTAGATGAATAGGCTGCTACCCTCCCAATGGTGACTTGCCATGCTCCAGCTCTTGGCAAAGCGAGTTGTGTCGAACATGAACATGAGCCGCCCAAAGTTTGCCCTGGATTTAGCGACAAGCTTGACTGTTGATTCCGGTCCTGAGTGCATCAGAACTTCGATCCGGCGCCCAATGGGCGCAAAGTTGGGCAACAGTCCAGTATGGTAATCAGTCGCCGTGGACATGTCCCTGATACAAGCACCTGACCATGTCTCAACACATGGGTTCCATGTTCCCACCCCGTGACCCACTCCAGGCCGTGTTGTGCGTGTGTTGTTACGTATACAAAAGCAACAACTAATTAAGAGCAACACCTTGGTTCCCGTTTGGTTTGCCATTTCTCTCTCTTCCTCTCCCCCTCTCTCCCTCTCTCCCTCTCTCCCTCCCTCTCCCTCTCTCTCTCTCACTATCTCTCCCTCTGCTCTCTCTCTCTCTCTCTGCTCTCTCTCGCTCTCTCTCTCTCCCCCTATCGAGCGGCGCTAGCGGCGAGATGCATGCTTTCAGAATGCGGGACTGATGGATTAGCGAGGAAAACCTTAGCGTTTCCACTGTCTTCTGGAACGGGAAAGAAGGGCGTGTTTTTGAGTTGGGCAGAGTGGGCATTATGCGAACTTGGCTTTTTCAAGAAGGACCATGCTGTTTCTGGGAAAAGTGTTTTTTTTGCGAACGTCTGCGAGGAGAAAGCCTTTGGTCAACTTGGTCCGAGAACGTCACTTCAAAAAAACAATTCTGTTCCTCGGTCTTTCGCCTGAAAAATCCTTCCAAACAAGCGTCCTCCTCATAATAAAAAAGTTTCCTATGGCATCCCTTCAAGACAAATTCTCCTGATACGATGACGATTTTCAAGCCTGACCTCCCTGATGTGCTTCAGAATGAATATTTCATGAAGAAAATTTTACAAGAATATTCTATGTGAGATCTAAATAGAAGGAGGGAGCTTTATTTCTACGTGTCAATTGATGTGGGGTAATGTTTAAATGCATCTGTGTGATTTGTCTCAAAGACAAGCTGACTAGAATTAGGCATCCCCACGTTATTCGTATATAGGTTTGCTTTGGTTGTAGAGGGTTGTTATAAAGAAGACTCTACCAAGGAGCTCAAGGGAAATTACCTGGAACGGGGGATCTCCTTCATTCTTGAGAGTTCAGTGTTCTTGTCAGGCGTTTGCAAAGGTGTTCGTCTCACTGTATCTGAAGGACATCTTGTCAGTTAGGAATACGTTTCGCTTCTTGGTTTTTGTTGGTTGCGGGAGCTTGTATAAAAGAATCTAAAGGAATTCTATCAGAATTAGTGATCTCCTTTACCTCTTAAGTTCTTATTGTTTCTGTAAGGGCAGGATTTTCAGAGAGGAATTCCTATGAACCTAAAGATCTTCTTTATTTGCTACGTCTTGACTATTTTCTATCGGTTGTCTATACTATATACCGAATAGGTTGTTTTCTACACCAAAATATGTGAGATGATAGCGATATAGAATATAGATTCCTCAGCATAGAACGCCTCTTCTAGCAAACCTGTACTCTGAAACCCGAATCCGAAATCTGCACGTTATGTAATCACAATTAAGCCTAAACCCCAAACCCTAAACCCTGAGCCCCCAAACCCTAAACCCCAAACCCCCAAACCCTAACCCTCCAAACCCCAAGCCCTAAACCCTAAATATCAGTTTCCATTTTCTTGTCCATTAACTATCCCTATATACCCCCAATACATACTCTATTATAATATAGTAGTTTCCGTTTGATTTTCCATTATCCCACCCTTAACCCTAAACTCTAAACCCTAAACCCAAAACCCTCCCCCTCTCCTCACCTTGAAGCTTCAAGGCTTGAGGTTCCTCCGCCGCCTCTGGCCAAGGTTCTGCGGAACTTTCCTGGTCACTAATAGTATGGGCTTTAGGGTTTACAGGATTGAGGGTTTAGGGCTTATAGGGTTCAGGGCCTAGAGGGTTTAGGATTTATAATAGGGCTTTGGGAACATTTCACTGGAAAAGGACATGGAACATGAAATGCTAGCTGGGATTATATTGTGGTTTATAGGGCTTTGGGGTGCTACTTGGAGGGTCAGGGAGACTTAGTAATGCGAGAGAGAATGGAAGGCACTAGATTTGTTAAAGTTTGAGGTTTAGGGTCAGGGGGGCTCATGGGGACTTAGTAAATATATTCATAAGATGATAACTCGGGTTACTACATGGATTTCGGAGACTGTTGACCTAATTACCACGTCCCCTGACATGTGAGGGTAGAAGCGTTTGGGCGGGTTGATTGGGAAGGATATGCAGCCCACGGTTTGGGGTTGTAGGTTCGCGGAAAGGGTTTTCTTAGCCATGAGGGCTCGGGAGCGCTGAAGAGAATAGAACATGCACTAGAAAAAATAGAGGCCACCGATGATTATTCCGACATTCCTTTCTGACCGGCAACAGGCTTCTGTCGGAGGAACCATTGCAGCTGACACCGACGAAGGCGAGCTGGCCAGTTCAAGAACTTCTGAGGCAGCAGCTACCTGATTGATGCGCGACTGCATGAGTTGGAATAACATCCCTCATATCCCTGGTAAAACATGTCTAGATGTCGACATTACCCTTGGCTTCTTCTGCAAATCACACGTCTGCGGTCATTCGGATGGTTAAGTATGACAGACTCACTTCTTTGATAGAAGAAAAAACGCACGAATCCTGAGCGTAGGTCTTCACATCTATGAGGAAGGACACATGAAAAGATCAATTTGGCTTCTATGTCATCCAAAACTTAAACCCTAAACCCTAACCCCTGGATCCCGAGCCCCTGAACCCCGTCTCTCCTAAGCCAAACTCGAATGAGCCATAGTCTAAACTCCTAGTATCCCTTCATGATCCCTATAATAGTCCCCTAGATAAGCCCTTTTTTATGTACCGCCCTTGAAGGAGCTAAGACCCTAAACCCTAAAGCCTAAACCCCAAACCTAAATAAGTTAGGAGGACCCCCCACCCTGTAATAGTGGTAGAATAGGAATATAAGAGGACCCAAATATAATCCCTAATATCCATAATAGTCACTATTACTGGGTGGGGGGTCCACCTAATATATAAGCCAAACTCAACTGTGCGAGGTGGCCAGGTGAGCATCGTCCTCCAAGTGAGCGACAGGAAACATCTGCTGCTCATAGGTTTCGATCAGCATTTCATAGCCTAGCTTCCCAAGAGGCTGTAGGGATATAGACATATATTATATACATATGTATATATATATATGAGTATCTATATTTATATCTCTATATATATGCATAGGGTGTAGACTCTTCAAAATGGATCATAAATGTGGAGGGTTCAGGGTCCAAGTATAGGTCCCCAAACCGTAGGCCCCAAACCTGCAAACATGTGCCAACGCGAAGCTGCCTCGAAGGTATACTTCCCCCGCGCATGAGCACGTGAATGCGATCCCAACAAAAAAGGCTCCCAATTTGGTCTTTGCCCAAATGTTCATCAAGCCCAGAGCCCAGAACTTTGACTAAACCCGTAGCCCTAAACCCTTAACCCTAAACCCTAAACCCTTAACCCTAAACCCTAAACCCTAAACCCTGAACCTAGTCCGTATCGGGGCGAAGAGGGAGTTGAATGCCAGTAGCCAGGGATGACGACTACCGGGGCGCGGATAGCTTTACAGCTAGGGTTTAGGGTTTAAGGTGTATAGGGGTCAGGTGGAAGGAACAGACGGTCCCCTGATGATCTTCTGTTTATGGATGCTCGCTTTCGCGTTACATGCCCCTACCCCCTTGAGTCTCTAACCCCTCAATCCAAAACAGCCTAAACCCCAGCCCTAAACCCTAAACCGCCTGATTCTCCCCCCAACCCGGAACCTTACTTCGTTGGGGTACCGTTGTATAAGAAACTTACTGCAAGTTACCAGTATACGGATAAACAGCAGATAAAAAAAATCCGCTTGTGGCAGTTTACTTGAACCTCCGTGATAGCAACTGCAAAAACTTATGGCTTGAAACACTGAACTCCTAAATTCGCGCAACTCCAAACACAAATCCTGAAAAGCGCACATTCTTCTTCAAACTCAGCCTGTGCAATCCCTAAATA